CCGCCGCCGCGCCGCCGCCCTAAATCCCTCACCCCTCCCGCGTCTGTTCTTCCTCCGCCGCGACCCTTCTTCGCGCGCTGCTGTTTTCCCCCTTTTGCAACCCGCGCGAAACCCTAAATCGAAGCCGCTGCCGCCCTGAATCCCTCCCTCCCGCGTCTGTTCTTCCTCCGCCGCGACTCTCCTTCTTCGCGCGCTGCTGTTTTCCCCCTATTGCAACCCGCGCGAAACCCTAAATCGGAGCCGCCGCCGCCGCCCTAAATCGACGAAGGAGACAGAAGAAGGAGATAGAAGAAGCCGTGGTTGACGAAGGTTGACGAAGGAGACAGAAGAAGCTTTCTCTCCTGTTTTAAAGGTAACGCTCACCTGCTTCCCCTCTTCTCTCCTCTTCTCTATTCTTCGCTTTTATAACCCGACGAGTAAAGGAAGAGTTGTCGCTGTCCTGGGGCAAGTGGAATCTTTTGGGGCTGGAACTTTACTTTTCTTTATACTGATGGTGGAGTTTTTGTCAGTTTTTCCAGCTCAGCCTTCACCATGGTGGGTCATGTGCGTGCACCAAATGCGCCCCAATAGGGGTGGGCATGCGGTTCGGTTTTACCGAACCGAACCGAACCGAGCAAGAACCGACCGAAACCGAACTTTACCTTGTTAGGTTCGGCGTTCGGATACGAATTGCCAACAATTCGGGAGCCAACTTCGTTTAAACCGAACTGAAAAAACCGAAAAACCGACCGAATTACCGAAATTAAAAGGCCCAACCCAATGATCCATTAACCCAACCCTGGAAAGACTTCAGCAGGCCAGGCCTACTACCCACCCAACCCAAGCCCAACCTCCTTACCCCAAACCCCTAAGTAAAGCCCAGCTGACAGCCCACAGTTGGAGAAAACCCTAAGGATTGGTTCCACTTCCTTCCTTCACTTCTCTGAGTCTGAGAGACGAGAGACTGAAACCCGCCGACGCCCCGACCCTTCTCACTTCTCACTTCTCAGTCCCTCCGCCACCGCCAGCCTCCTCCACTCTCGTTTTCATATTGTTTTTTTGGTGTGATGAGTATACTGAAAGGAAGAGAATGGAGGATGATATATATGCTGGAGTGGGGTAAAAAAGGTTGCGAATCCGCATGAGACTAATGCGGGTCCGCTGGTCAAAGATAAGGGAATCTGTCAGCGCACTTTAAAAGAGTACAAAGCGGCATCGTGCCAGTCTCACGCGGGCCCGTCGTTTTTACGTCAAAATACATAACTAGCGGCTCCGCATCAGTCTGATGCGAATTCGCTCTCCTTCCACTATAAAAACACAATATTCGTGTCAATTAATTTAAAACCACCATATTGGTGGTAAATAAAAATAATAACAATATTTTAGGATTTTATCCGGGAAAACGAAAGGTCATACAAAAAAGGGAAAACGAAAGAGGTGCGGCCTGTGGGCATATGATGGGATTAGTGATGATCAGGGTTCAAGAAGGCGCGCCTAGGCGCACGCCTAGGCTCAATTAGGCGCTAGGCGGTGGAGGATCGCCTTGACTTGGCCATAGGCATTGTAAAAGGCGCTAGTAGCGCTTAGTAGGTAGGAATAGAGCTTAGTTTGTGCCTAGTGGAGACATGGCGTGCCTGGGCGTTCCTGGGTGAGCTTAGGCGGTTAAACCCAATACTCTTCGTTTTGTCCTAGAAAATCAGAAAATTGCCTCTTGCCCTAGAAAATCAGAAACACAGGAAGGGGATGACCATGCTATGTATGTATTCGTAGATGAGGATGAGGAATCATATTGTGCACCCTCGAGTACTGTTACAGATGCAATGGCGGGTGAACAGAGTGAGCTTCGCAGGAGTGCACGAGTGAGAGAGCTCCATGATGAAGAATTAGAGTCTGAAGAGGAGGAAGAGGAGGAGGATGGTGAGGAGATTGCTTTTGAGGATGATGAAGATGAAGTGGTGGCTGGACGGACCTACTTGGATGATGAAGAATGAACATTTTCCTATGAACTTATTGACTATTGTTGAGTATTTCGATATTTTATGAACTTGTGATTCTAGGAAGTGGTCACTATTTGCTTGTTATTTGTTATGTTAAGTGTTTACTGTTAAGAACTAGGCATTGCTAATTTTATATCCACTTGGATTATATGAATTATTCCAGAAAACAGGAAATATTTGAGAACTTTTTCCATTTATGCTATGAACGCTTAGGCGCGCCTAGGCTACGCCTAATCAGGCAAGGCGCAAGTCAGGAGCCGAGCGCCTGCCTTACGCCTAGCGCCTTTTAGAACCTTGGTGATGATATATATTGGTTATATTATTTTATGTAAGTATCAATTACAAATAACTTAGCATATTTCTCCATTTTTATGAATTTAGTACTGTGTTTAACTAATGTGTAAGGTGAGCGTTGTCAGTATTTTATTGTGGATGTTAAAAATCATTACCAACACAACATATTATACATTTTGTCAAATTAGAATTCACCACTTCAAAACTTTCTCAATTCTCATGCATCCACATCAGCATTATTTTTCTATGTCACGATTATTATTTTAATTTTTTATACTCAACTTTGATTGAAAATAAACAAACATAATAATTACTAGGATCAGAACACACAACATGCAAGTTCAATGTAAAGATTATAACCAATAAGATATTTGATTATATTCATTGAAACCTTATAAAATAAACTCCATTAGTTATGAACATGTTTAATATGTAATCAGGGGCGAACCTACGTATATCATAGGTTTGTCAATTGACAAACCTTAGATCCAATTTCGGAACAAAAATTCTTTGTAAAATTTTCATTTTAGTGATGGTAGTATTTAAACTAAAGGCTATTTGACAATCTTTGGTGATTTTGTTTTATAGTTGAGTACCCTTGACATAATTTTTGGATCCGCCACTATATGTAATCTATGAATCGTGATCTTTTTACTTTATTGATAAAACCGGTATATGATTATAATTTAATCATGATTTCAAATGATTAATAAAGATAAAAAAATAACCCGGCCAATGGCCGGTAACTAGGGATGGCAATTTCGACCTGGCCCGATTCAACCGACATGTTTGACCTATTTTGGGGCGGGTCCGACCCGCCCCGTAGGCAGGATAGGACAGGCATGGGTATTCTCATTGACCCGACCTGTCCTGATCCGCCCCATTCTCGATCCGTTCTTGCCTAAATTACATGTAATCTTAGTCAAATTATTTGAAAATTTCCTTTTATTACATCATATTTTAGCTACTATAAAGTTGTGAATTAGTGAAAACCTCAATTTCTCCAATAAATTAACTACATGTTTCTTGGTCTTATAATGAAAATAATGAATATTTCTAATACTTTTCATATAAATTACATACTGATTGGGTCGACTTGCCCCAACCCGCGCTCCATAATTAATAACCCGGCCTGAATCCAACCTGCAACGGGACAGATATGAGTATCGAGATACACCCCGGACCTGCCCATTTCTATTCCTACCGGTAACAAAGCTAGTTCACTAAATGAAATCATTTTACTTATGGGCGGTCAATCAATTTCATAAGCAAGCAAACTATTCTTATTAGGAGTCGTTTGGATGGGTTTTTTCAATGAGTTATTCTGGGCCAAATAACTCAATGTGAGTTATTTGGCCCATAATATCTCGTTTGGCAAATTTTATGGTTGATGTGGTATTGTGGGCTGAATTATTTGAGAATACCACAAAATCGAGTTATTCTAAATAACACCTAGGGAGGTGTTATTTTAAAATAACGTGTTCTATGCGTTGCCTTCCCACTTTTTCATCCCTTTTTGCCCCTCTCCTGTCTCCTGTCTCCTTCCTTCTTCCTCTTTTCTCCGAATCCATTGATTCTTCTGGCTTTAGCCAAAATCGGTTGATGCAAAATCAATTCTTCTGCTATTTTGGGATTCCTTTCTTCATGTAGATCAGATTGAGTATGGGGAACCCTAGATTTTGATGAACAAAGTCGAAGGAGAGTTAGCAGCGGTGGCAAACAGAAGATGAACAGAAGCGATTCATCTTCCTCTCAAGTCCTCTGCATGACTGAGCTAGAGCGTCGACGAATGAAATAACTCATTGTCCTTTGATTCCTTCCCCGGATCTTCTCCAATTTCTGGGTTTTGACATTGCTCTGGGTCTGGATGAATTGGGTGAATTGTGGCGAGCTCCATTGGTAGAGAATGTGTGATATGAGAACAGATTGGGGTTCGGGTTCTGCTTCTTCTTCAATTGGGGGTTGGGTTTGAGTCCTGTGTTTCCTCTTCAATTAGGGACGGGGTTTGGATTCTCTTGATTCTTCTAATTTTTCTGGATTTTTTACAAGATTTAAAGACCTCCACTTCGGCCGATTATTCCCTCTTTATGAAACAGGGGCTGCATGTAGACCAAAGTTGTGGAGAAGAAGAACACCGCATAAGAAGGCGATGAGTAACAGAATCAAAGGAGAAGGAGAAGGGTTGAAGCCTTGACCGGTTGCCATTTCCGTTCTCTCCAGTACAACGGCATGCCCAGAAATAATCAATTTGCCGCTCTGATTCTAAGTTCATTGCCTTCAATTGAAGATGCCCATTTCCCAACATGACTAATTGCAGCCGTTTGTGAATTGTGTTTTGTTGGAATCGAGCAATAGAGGTGATATGTGAATGGGTTGCTTTATTTCTTTTGTGAATCGTTTGCAATCCATTGTAATCGAGCAGTAGCAATAGCAACAATATGTTCTCATAGAACAAGGAGAGATTGACACTAATAATTGGGGATTTCATATGGGTTAAACCAGATGAAGAGGGCATTATGGTATTTTCTTACTTTTCTTATCAAATACCACATATAAAATAACTCATCCATTTGGTTCATCAGACAATTTAATTCTCAAATTTTCCAAATAACACATAAATACCACACTTGCAATTTATGAATTATTTCAACCTAAAAATACCACACAATCAATTAATCCATCCAAACGACTCCTAGGCATAGCCCATAGGCGCGATAAGCCCGCATACAAAGAAGAACAACGGTCGAGATCCAATAACCAACCCAAGAACTCATTCGACGGCCCAGATAAGATTTTCAGCAGTTCAACCCCACAAACAACAGGTTCTACCTTCCAAGCCACTCTCCCCGAAGAACAATTTGATACTCTGAGACGAGGGAAAAGTCGAGACCGAAATCCAGAATCCGCGGTGCCCCTCCCTTTTGGAACTAATCGGAGCATCGATTCGTTCTTGGGTTTCGACGATCAGCCATGTACAGAACCGCAGCTTCTCGCCTCAGGTCTCTTAAGGTCAGTTAAGATTTCTCTCTCTCTCCCTCTCTCTCTTTTCATACACAGCCAAGAATCTGGATCTGTAAGCTCCTTTGGTAGACGCAGCCCGTAAATTGACTAATCATATCGATTCCCTAACCACTAAGCTAGCGATCGCTTCAAGTTTAGATAATTTCGTAGTTCGGGGGTGTCCCTATGGCGCGTTTTGATCGTTCATTTAGCCGTGTTCTGTTTGTTTGCTGTGAAAATGTGAGAAGAATTAGATAGTGCTCGACGGGCAGCTTGTCAGTGACTCATTCGTTGGAACAAATTCATAGGTTGGTTTCGTTTAGAAGCTGATGACATGGTTGGTTAACCTGGTAGAAGAATAATTCGTGGCTTGGGCGGGTACTTAGAGTGTTGGTGTTTAGTCAGTTGAAGTGGCCGGTCGTAGAAGAAGACGTTGGAATAGACCCGATGTCTTGGCAGTGAAACATTATTTTACATCTATGATTGTAGAAGATGACTTCTGTTAGTAGTGGATCACTTTATGATCACAGATATAAGCAATGTTGGTGTTCTATTTGCATCATATTGTGCGTCGAATATGGAGTGAAAATGATGGAACTTTCTTACCTGTTTATTATGTTGAACTGTGGAAATAGGGGCGTACAAGCAGCAGGTTCCCCGTAAGCACTAGGTCACCTGCAAGATTCGCAAGCTCGGGTGCTGCCGTATTGCAGTCATCCACTTCAGGTGGGATCTTAAGTTGGTTTACTGGTGGAAATTCCAAGTCTTCAGTGCCTCTTGACTTCCAGTTTCCAGGAGTCGAGCTCCCACAATCACTGCCCGATTTTGTTGAACCGGGGAAAACCAAGATCACTACGCTCCCTAATGGCGTCAAAATTGCATCTGAATCATCTTCGGTAATTGTGCACTTCAAACTTCTTTTGTGGGATCAACTTTACCATTTGTTGCTAGGATGCCACCCCTGTCTCACTCTATCAATGTACTTTCCTATCTCTGTTATGTGCTAGAACCCTGCTGCATCAATAGGCCTTTACATTGACTGCGGCTCAATCTATGAGTCACCAGCCACATTTGGAACCACTCATCTGTTAGAGAAAATGGCCTTCAAAAGTACTAGAAATCGCAGCCACTTGCGAGTTGTGCGAGAAGTGGAAGCAGTTGGAGGTGTTGTACAAGCCTCAGCATCTCGGGAGCAAATGGGTTACACTTTTGATGCTCTAAAGACTTACGTACCTGAGATGGTGGAGTTGCTAGTTGATATTGTAAGGAACCCAGTCTTCCTAGATTGGGAGGTCAACGAACAGGTAATGTGCATCTTCTGTTTCCCTTCTCTTACAGATTGTTATATTTAATGCTGCCCTCTTAGCATTTATTTGCCTTGCACTCCAGCTTCTGAAGGTCAAATCTGAGATTAGTGAAGCTTCTAACAATCCGCATGGCTTACTTTTGGAGGCCATTCACTCTGCTGGTTTTTCTGGCGCACTGGCTAATCCTCTTTTAGCTCCTGAATCAGCTATTAATAGGTTAAATGGTTCTCTGTTGGAGGAATTTGTGGCTGTAAGTTTTCCCTCCTTTTCCAAATGAAATAGTTGCTTGCATCCTCCACCAAATTGTGTTATTAAACTCTATATTTTGAAACCTCTAGGAAAATTACACTGCCCCTCGGATGGTGCTTGCAGCTTCCGGTGTTGAGCACGAGGAACTAGTATCCATTGCTGAGCCTCTTCTCTCTGACCTACCACAAGTTCCAAAACCTGCTGAGCCTCAATCTGTTTATACTGGAGGCGATTACCGTTGTCAAGGAGAGTCAGGGGTATGAATCTCAGATATATGTTAACTTCCCTTCAACCTATGTAATACATCCATGTAAAATGTATGACCTTGGACAATTTTCCTTTTTCTCACCGCAGGATATGATGACCCATTTTGCTCTCGCATTCGAACTCCCTGGTGGCTGGCATCAGGATAAGGATGCGATGAGCTTGACTGTTCTTCAGGTTCATGATCTTTTGATGCTTGCTTCTTTTACTTTTATTTCTCTTAAGAAAAATATATATGATTTGTTAGGTGGGTGAATATCCAAGGTTGTTTTCTGATTGTCTACTTGGATATATTACTATTAATCGTCTTAGTTATCACATTATCCGAGTACCAAGTTGAAGGCAGTGATATATTGCTACTTGAATGTTTGGCAGATGCTTATGGGAGGTGGTGGATCATTCTCTACTGGCGGCCCTGGAAAAGGAATGTACTCAAGGCTTTGTAAGTTTCTATCATGCTTCCTTGACGACACCTTTCTAGGAATCCTGTAACTATTTATTGTTTTACTTCTTTGGTGACATTTTGCCGGTAATGAATATCTTATCTACTGATATGTTGGGCAGATCTTAATGTCTTAAATCAGTGTCCACAAATTCAGTCCTTTTCGGCATTCAACAATATTTACAACAAAACTGCCTTATTTGGCATCCAAGCAACCACTGTAAGGATGCCTTTATCTGTGCTAAAGGCTGTCAGCCTCTTCTGATCCTACTTTCTTCTTTTTCTACTGTGGAAGAATGTGCATGTTTGGTTACAAGTTCTGCTGGTAGACATGCTGCTCCGAAACACTAATTTTCTTCCTCAATGCAGACTTCAAATTTTGCAGCAAAAGCAATTGATATAGCCGCTAGTGAACTTATTGCTGTTGCTAAGCCTGGTGAAGGTTTGCTACCATTCTTATATATTGGTTTTTATACTTGTAGCTGTTTGGAATCCTGACTATAATTGACAAGGTTTAACCTCCTGCTTCCTCCAGTTGATCCCGTGCAATTGGCCCGTGCCAAGCAGGCAACAAAATCTGCCATTTTGATGAATTTAGAATCCAGAGTATGTGATATATCCTTCCATGTTTCACAATTGACCATGCTTTATGATTTTTGGAATCTTAATTTTATTTCTCTGTGTTTCCCAGATGGTTGCTTCTGAAGACATTGGTAGACAAATTTTGACATATAGTGAGAGGTACTCTATACCTCATGTTTCTGTGTTTAATGAAAAGGGTAGCATAACGTAAGCTAGTGGAAGGAATAAGTTCCTTTCCGCCTACTGGCTACCAGTTTTACATGCATTTTCTATCTATTTTGGTGGGGTATTCAGTCAATCTGTGGTTATTGTTAAAGCAGTAGCTTTACTTATACTTGGGATTTCTTCTATCATGGAAGAGTTCAAGTTAACGATTCAATCTTTGTCTAATACCGTTCGCTGTCTGTGACATGCCACCGGCTTTACTGAACAAGAACACAGTTATTGGTTAGGACAAACAGTGAAATAACATATGCTGCGCGTGCTGGACCTTTTTGCTTATTCGTGTTTTCCATTATATTAAACGTGGGTTGTTTTGTTGATGGTATCTGTAATACTGAATGGATGGATGACTATTCAGCTGCTGCTGTATATAGATTTGTGGTTTGAAGGATATGTTAGGAGTCGGGAAATTGTGTTACTTAGTTGCATCCTTAACAGACTTTTCAGGGCAATTCGTCTAACCATGGATTTGGTACTATTAGGAATAGTTATTGAGAACTTTGATTAAAACACAACAGTATTTGTTTTATGCTCTCAACTCTCAATGTTTGATGATCTTATATTGGGTCTTTCTCAAGAGCTTGGCTTATGTGAGTGATGTCTCTACAAGTTCGATAGATTGGAAAGCTTATACATTTGTGTTCTTTGCACTAAGCTGTGTCTCTAAGAGCTTGAATATGAATGTGCTCGTTAATGACTTTATTAATTAATTGACTGATATTTTGCTGGGTGACTTTTCACAAATGAACCCAGCTCATTCGTAATCTTCTCTATATCCAGGGTATTTGTTTGGTTATTCATTAACAGTTCTATTTAAACTTTTATCTCTTCTAGGAAACCGGTGGATCATTTCTTGAAAGCCATAGATGCAGTCACAGAGCAGGATGTTGCCAAGCTTGCACAGAAGCTCATTTCATCCCCTCTTACGATGGCGTCCTACGGAGATGGTAAGACACCCACTTACTGAGAAAACCTACGTACTAGTGCTGGTTTCTATTAATCCTTCCTCAAATCAATTGAATTTGATTTTGTTTTCACTGATATCCTGCAGTTATCAACGTTCCAACCTATGACTCAGTCAGCAGCAAGTTCAGATCGAAATGAAGTAGTCCTTGACGAGAGGCTGAAATCTATTTGTGCGTCCAAGCTCTGCTTCACATAATGACACAGGAGCTTATTGCAGTTGATGAAATAAGTAGTGATGATATACGAAAGAAGCCATTTTTTAAAAAATACAACTTCGTAGGACGGGGCTCGGCCAGCCAGCAGTTTCATATTTCCCCTCACGAACTAGTGAAAACCCCTCTCTGTATGGGCAGAGTGGACAGTTGAATGATTCTCCATTGCAGAGACAATGATCATCAAACATTCAATCGCGTAATGCTGTCGTTATCGATCACAGTCTGAAACTTGCAAAATGCAGCCGAAAGCATTATAGAGACTTGAGAATGAAGGAATCCAATAAAAAACCCCTAGCTTTCCCACAGCAAATAAAATAACCGGGTAAATTGCAAGGTTGGTCATTGAGATTACTAAAAACATTCATGTTTGGTCATATTTAATTTCATTCGTGATCACTATGATTAATCAAACAATTTGTATTTGGTCACTCTCCGTTACCTTTCGTCAACCTCCGTTAACACTGTCAATTTTTTGCTGACGTGACTTACAAAAGTGTTGAGTCATCAAAATTTAATCTGAAAAAATAAACTCAACCTGCCATGTCATCTGCCACGTCATTAAATCCACCCCAGTCTCTTGTTATCCTCCAACAGATTTTGGGGGATTTTATCTCTACTCTGACGGAGAAGATGGCGGTGCGACGGCTTCCGAAGAAGATCTGTGGATACTCGATGGAAAACAGGTAAAATGGATATGGGTTGCGCAGTGGCAGCTCCTCTGGGAAAGTCGACGTCTTTGGGGCTCTCCACTTCTATGATCGCCCTCCTCTAGCTCATTCTTTGTCTGCTTCTTCGTCTCTGGATTAGCTCACCGTCACCTTTCATGGTTGCCCTGATCTGGCACAAGAACGAGGAGGGCTGGTCGACCACCGACCATTGCTTGTGGACATGAAAACGATCCTCGAGTGTGTCTTGGACTTCGAGTAGGAGGTTGAAGTTGGGATTTCTAGATCTAGGTTTTGATAGAGACGATGGTGAACTGAATCTAGAGATTTTGGGAAGAATGTTAAGCAGCCGAGGGAGGCGCGGCGCGACAGGCAAGAGCAAGCAGAACATCAGGGTTTTCGATATGGGTTTTCGGAGAAGGAAGGTGGTTTTTTTAACTATCTGAGCTTCTCCGCCACAGGACGATGGGCTTGGCGTCGAGGACGATGAAGCGGCGGTTCTTGCGGCCTTGGGTGCGGAGATCGAAGGAGGAATTGGAGAATTGTACGGTTGAGGACATGGAGAGCGAGGAGGAAAGCTTGGGATTGAGGGATGAGACGTTGAGTGTGGAGGTGAAGTGGAGAGATTTGAGATTTGGAAAGTTTCCTTGCGATCTGATTCGAGAGGTAGAGATTTTCTTTTTCTTCTTCAAATGGGTCAAGTAGAGGAAGAAGAGGCTGGGTCGGGTTAGGTTAGGTCAAGTCTGGTTGGGTATCTTATGTGGCTGGTTCAAATGATGTGGCGGCCCGGCGGGTCATATATTATTTTCTTGGGTTAAAATTAGCTGATTAGAGAATTCTGTTACCCACATAAGCAAAAAACTAACGGTGTTAACGGAAGCTAACGGTAGGTAATGGAAAGTGACCAAACTCGAACTGTTTGGTTAAATATTTCTAGTGACCACGAATGGAATTAAATATTTTTAGTGACCAAACATGAACATTTTTTGTAATCTCAATGACCAACCTTGCAATTTACCCGCAAGTAACTCCAAAGCTTTGGTGTGTCACCCTGCAAAAACCAAACGTTTAGCATAATCCTCAGCATATTCCACCACCACCCAAGAGGAATCTTCCTACCATATTCCAGAACTGCAACTCAGCAAGTGCAAGAGACTGATGAAATCCTACAAAGTGACCCAATTGAACTAAAGCGATACAATGGCAATAAGACTCGGACTAACTAAAGCTACAACTTCCCCACCATTTCTGGCAGGACCTCCAAACTGCTAGAAAAAATGAAGCTACATCACTATCATTCACCAAAAACCTGTAGAGGCAAACACATCTGCAAGCAAGTAACATGCTGAAACGATAGCCCAAAGCAAAGCTGCTGCCTCTTTTTTTAATAGCTATTGTCATCGCAGTATACACAATTACCTCCATTTTTTCTCTCATAACTCTTTGGTCATAAACACGATAGGCTTTATTTCTGTACATCACAACAACCCTACCTATGGGCAGTTGACGTATCCCGGGCACCTTTAGCAAGCACGCGCCTCAGGCATCCGCCCAGCAACAGGGCCAGAGACGCCCGATACTTTCAAGGACGCAAAGAGGCAGGACAACCGGGCTATCATGGGCCTTGACTTCATTCTTGGTACAATTGCCAATTCCTTACCGGTACTAGCAGCACCATCCTCGGAGGAACTATGGTATCCCTCAAGATCTGCTTTCGTAATGAGAACTTCGTCCCCTGATGGAGACCACGTGGTAGAAGATAACTGGCGTGAGTGGCGTCTACTGTATTCTTGAACAGCCTGTATTTTTCGAAGGAAATATTAGTACATAAGTGTACAAGATGTTCAACCATCACTAGTTATCACTTATCACTCATCTCTAAATGCTCAACCTCCTAACAACACGATTGTACAAAAAGAATGTGATGAATTACCTCCCACTGCGTTGGAGCTAGCAACACTCTAGGTCTTCTAGATCTCACGTAATCAAGGGCGGCGCCAGGCATCATGTGCTTATACTTTACCTGCAACATATAGCGTATGACACGAATAAATGTCGGAACACAAAAGAGTAGTCAAGAAGAGATGTTTGAACCAAAGCAGCCTTTACCAAATAACAGAGCACAATGGTAGTACTCCTCCCACGCCCAGCTTTGCAATGAACGTAGGTAGTTCTGCAACACAATGCATTCCCTGAAGCACAAATAGAGAAGAGATCAAAATGAAATACACCATACTCAGACATAATGGAGGATCTATTGATACTTCAAATAGAAAAAATTACTCACTGTGAATGAAATCCACTGCCAGACTAATATCTGCAAAAGAAGGGGCAAAGAGATAATCCCTTGTTGGAATCACTAGATGTTCAATTCCATGGACCTGCAAAAACACACAACACAAAGCAAGCATGAGAAAACGCAATTGGTTTCATAGCAATTTACTAACTAAACTGAAAGGACTTCCAAACAAGAAGCCACACAGAAGCTCGTTCGCTACTTTGCTCTAGATGCATGGCATAATTACATCGCTAGCTGAACATCAGCCTTTCCCCCAGAATAGGAAATCCTGCAGTTAGTTCATAAAATTCACATTGCTTGAAACCCCAAGTAAATTGTAAACCAAGATGATTGTAGGAAGTTCACATTAGTACAGCCAGGATGATTGCAAACAAACCTACATCGAAGCGCAAGCATAAATGGAGCATTTGTATGGTAGAAAATAACCCACACGATACAAGGCTGATGGAACCAGAGTCTCGTATGGTTCATTGAGGGTGATGACTCCACCTACACCAAGCTTCTTCAGTCGGGGAACATCCTTAGGAAATGGGACGGCACCCAGTAGTAGATACTGCAGAAAAAAGCAATGGAAACTGTCAAGATATTAACCAAAGAAGAGCATAAGCTCAAATCGAGTGAATAATATTTCATCTCCACAGCTTCAACAAGTTGACATCTTGTATCCCAACGATCAAATACTAGCTGGAAAACTGGCCGCCCAAATGACCAACAACATGAATAAAATCTATTTTCCTCGGCCGGAAAGTGAATACACCATCCAGTTTACAGAAAGACGCCGACTTGAACACGGAAAACAAATATACAATAAGAAGTTTCTCCTAAGAAGCAAAACAGCCCATCAGTTTCTCAGCTACCAAACACTGGATAAACGAGACCCACAAGTTTTTTAATGATACGGCGACCACCGAGAACAGAGCAGCAAAAGGAGAGAACGAAGAGAGAGGTAGGAAGATCAACCTGGTCAACTTCATCCCACCACCGGAACTCAGCCTGGATTTTGTTCCGAAACACATTATAGAAAAGCGTGGGGTAGAAAAGAATCCGAGCACCAACTCCAACCAGGGCTCGCTTGGCGTCAACCCTAACAATCTGAAGCTGCATCATCTGCTTCTCGTAAACGCCATCGTCTTCTTCCTTACAACCAAGACCGGACTCCTGATCGTCCAGCTCCTCGATCTTCATCTCTCTCAAATCCAAAACCCAACTCTAGAACAGAGGTGGAGAAAAAGTAACCAAAAAAGTCGTCACGAATTCGAACACGGAATCGCAGAGAATCGCGTCCCCGAAAGGTGGAGCATTGAATTGTCTACCGGGAATTGGACTGAGAGTTAGGATTTAGGCATCGCAATCAATGGAGGGGAAAGGATCGGGAGAAGATGATCGAAAGAGACGAGAAGGGTGGGATGGGATAATGGAAATTAAAGGGCTGTAGAAGGATCGGATCAGGGATTAGGTAGCGGAGAGAGATGGATTGGGGAGGAAAAGAAGCTGAAAGTGAAGAAGTGTGAAATTGGGGAAAACTGGGAAATCGGTTTCTCGTGGACTAGAGAGAGAGAGAGAGAGAGAGAGTGGAGGGTAGAAAGAAATACAAATAAAAGGATAAATGAAGTAGAAGTGACGGAAACACCCTCGATGGTGTATGATATTCACGATGTACCACTGGCACAGAATTTGGTAGTATGTTATATATAGGGCTGGAAGTTTAGTATCGGTATTTGGGATATATGGAAGGTCAAATACACTTGTATAGTCAAAATTTTGACGTTTTTACCAAATATAGCCACTTTTAGAAAAATACCAGAAATAGCCACTTTTGTCCAATTGTTTGACGGTGTTAGTTAACGTGATGACTGGACTAACAGCAGCGGTTGACGTGGCATATTTTATTCAAAAATAATATTAGTTGGAAAAAATTAAATGAAAAAATAAAAAGTATTTTGAACCATCCATCCCTCTCTCTTTCTTCAATTTATTCTAATTAAGTTTAATAAAATATTTAAAAAAAATCTCCAACCCCAACCTGTTCATCTTCTTCCGCTGCCTCCCTCGCCCTCAACCCCACCCCCCACACCAATCCACCGCCGCCTTCACTCCTGTCCGCTGCGGCCTCCTCATGAGGGTCGTATCCCAACTCCCAAACACCAAAGCGATTCACACCGTCACGCTGGGGAAATCTGGGCCATGTCCCGAGCACCAAAACTTCTCTCTACTCCAATCCCTCTCTTCTCTCTCTTCATTCCCCTTGTGCGAGTTATCCCAACAGTCGCTCATGTTCGAAAAATCCTCCTAGATCCGCTTTCGATATCAGTCAATCCGGCAGCAACTCCGCCACTGCCTTGTCCTTATCCCTCCGATTCTTAATCAACACCTCGCTCACGGACGTGGGGTCATCTCCGCCTTATCAATCACCGCCTCAATCTCCTTCCAAACTCGGCGTTTCCTTCCTCGAGCGTAATCGAGTTCCCTGACTCGTCGAGCCGCCTTTGGTGGCTCCTCCTCTCATCTCCACCGCGGCCGCTTCGTAGAAGCCTGACGAGCCTCCTTTGTTTCTGATGCTCGAGCAACCCTTCTTGCGATTCCCGAGGTTAATCGAGCATCACTCATCTGCTCCTGCCCCTCCACGAAATCCCTCGGATCTCACATGTTTCGAGCTTCTTCACCGGATCCATGGTGGGCGACTAGCGATGGTGGGCGACTGCTGCGACGGTGGGGTTTCTCAATTTGTGCGGTTGGTGATTTATGCGGCATCACTGTGAAAATGGGATCCTTTGGCATTCCCGATTTGTTGTTCCCCATCTATCTATGTTATTCCCCATCCGTGTTGATTGAAAATACAGGGGCAAAAGTTGAAGATGGCGAGCAGTTTGGTGGACGGGGGAGATGGAGATGAAAGGAAGAATAGAGATGAAGGGAAGAATAGATAAATTTATTATTGTACTTTTATGATTTTTATTTATTTTTAAATTAAAATATGACATGGCATCCATGTGACAACTGTTGGTGAGTTGTCGATGATGTGTCCGGTGAGTTGGCAGTCACATAAGCGTTTCGTTAATTTGACTAACAGTGTCACTGACGTCGTTAAAATATGTAACGGAAATGGCTACATTTGTCATGAAACTTTCACAATTTGGCTATTTTTGGTATTTCTCCAAAATTGGCTATATTTGGCAAAAACATCAAAGTTTTGGCTATACAAGTGTATTTGACCTATACCGAATACCGTACCAAATTTATCACTATTTGGTATTACCGAATACCGGTTTATTTTTTAGGGATTGAGATTTGGATTCATTTTGGAGTGCTATTCGATATTCGTGATTACGTGATTGGGATCGGTATATACCAAAATACCGAGAAATACCGAAAATTAAAAATTAATTAAATATAGCACAAAATGTTTAGTCATTCCTCACTCTTTCACAACTTAGAAGCCTCATCCAACTCAATTTTGACTTTCCAATTTATGTCACTCTCGTCTCTCACCTAATCTCTTTTTATTTTCATAAAACCAAAAAGCAAATACTAGTATTGATCGTCTCTCAGCCTCCAATTCGTCAAATCAAAGATTACCAATGACAAGAATTTGAGATGTCACCTCTCCTCCATTCTCCTTATCCATATCCTAGCTCTAGGTAAACTCAAGACTCTTTGCTTAGTCTCTTTGGCCCAAATTAAACAATCAAATCTAATTTATATATTTAATTATTAATTACAAAGATAATTAATTTCGCATTCGATAATACTGATTGGGATACCGAAATATTTAGGGATTGGGATTGGGATACCGAAATTATTTAGGGATTGGGATTGAAAATGACTTTATGGTGTAATTCGGTATTTGGTATTGGGATACCGATACCGTACCGATTTCCACCCCTAATAGTATGATAGAAGCCACCATATATAAGTTATTCATACATTTTTTGGTGCAAAAAACAAATGAGAGCTACAGAGGCAAACATATGTTGTGCCGAAACAAATCAAAGGCTGCGAGTATTCTACCGGAAGGAGGTGCAGGGCTTGGTGCTGTGGCGAGGGATTCCGCAGGTCGATTCCTCTTTGCAGCGGCGAAGATGGTTACAGGTATCAGGGACCCAAAGGATGCGGAAGCTCTGGCAGTTGAGCTAGGCGTTCAGACAACGTTTCATCTCAATCTAATGAACCCGATTTTGGAGACGGACTGCTTGAACCTTGTGAAAGATCTTATGGCGGCTGAAAGAATCAAAACCGAGAAGGGGATTGTCTGCACGAACATCCGACGCTTGCTTGGATAACTAGGCGAAGCTTCATGACAGTATGCACCAAGGGAAGCTAATGTTGTAGCTCACACGATGGCACACGTAGAGACAAAGTGGAATGAAAAGACTATTTGGGTTGATAGGCCTCCGATGATCCTTTTAGATCGGCTAGAGCTAGACAATGTAACCTCCCTTGCTGATTAATGAAAATCCTCAGGTTATCAGTAAAAAAAAAAACAAATCAAAGGTTGTGGGTTATTAGTGAGTGCAACATAGGTGTGAAGTGAACATGCAACTAACATTCAAATTATATGGTTTAGTTGCAACAAAAATAGGTTAGATGGTCATCATATTAACTGCCCAGTCGTTTGCTTGTTATATTTGAAAAATGAGGGTTTTGGTTCAAAAAAATCTCAGAATTTAGTAGGGATTTGTTGCATTACGGATTTGAAAACTCTATTGTTTGCATTATAGAGTTGATGATATAATTATGACGGATTTGTTATAAATATAACTAGCCACCAAAGATTTACAAATCCCACCCAAATATGTAGGATTTACAAGTTTGTGAAGTCCACAAATTTGAATAAAAAAAGAAATAAATTTGTGGACCCCACGGATTTAACACCTAACAACAAACAATGGACTTGACTAAAATCCATCATGCTTGGGATTTGAGTCCCAAATTCATGACCAAAATCCAACAAACAAACGACCCTTCATCACACTTAAATGACACCCAATACATTTAACCCTAAAGTTGGAGGATACTCATGTGTAATTATCACAAGAGAGAGAGAAAGGACACATACTCCTTACTAAGAATTGTAAAACTGTACTCGAAGTCATTCGAAAAAAGTCATCAGTAAGATATTTTATACTAAAATCATAATTCAACTGTTTCATACCGCTAAAATTGTCTATCATTTTAAAACAATATGCGGTCCGACAGACCGCTACACTAAATTTCTCAAACATTGCTCAAGATACAAAAACTCCATTCAACCAACTCAAATACACACAAGTTTCACACTACAAAGATGGTTTAGGGGCCACATCCACCAAGAAATGCTTGGCATTTCCCTCATCTTTGAGTTACTACTAGGGTTTAGTTTCAGCCGTAAAGCCAACATTGTGACCTACATACATTGCTAACTTTCACATCTGACGCATTCTGCTACCTACCTTCAAATCCAACTACTCATTCAGTCTTTTCTTTTAGGTAAGAACTCTTTCAGTCTTCCACACATGGACGGAGACAGCAATAACCACAGTTGGAAAAAGGAGCAGAGAAAATTACAACTAGCCAACAAAATCTAACCAAAATTGAACCGTCCAAATCTGCTATCCATCTCCAATTCTATCTTGAAAACATCAACATTTGACATTTCTCTCTTAAAAACCCACCCAGCAGCGGGAAGCAATCATATCCAACCAACCAACCCCAATCTTTCCCTCATCGTCGCCGCTCTTTCTCCGACCCCGTCGCTGCCGCCGAGACGGAGAAATCCTCTGTCACCAGGAATCTGCGTTGACCCAATCTAACCCAGCTCCCTCATCTCCGGATTTCCCCGTGTTTGGGGTTTTTGAAAGTTCTCGTGGTTATCGCCTGGTCAAAGATTGGCCCCGGCGCCTTCTGTGTACCGATAAACTAAGGTATGGGGCAAAGGTCGCCCTCTGCTCTTTCTTTTATTCTTTGCGGCGAGTGCCATTTGAAGAACTTGTATGAGACCGAAATTTGATACTGGGTCTTCGAGGATTAGGCTGGTCGGCGATTTCTATGTTGATAGACATCGCCAGATTTTCTTTTTCCATCCTTGGAAATTGGGTTGAGATTTTGTCTTGGGATGCAATGACGGATTCAACGATACTTCTAATACGTATAATCGAAGATTCTGGTTCTGATTGTGAAGAAACTTGTAATGCAAAAGAAAGATGCGGGCTTGGTAGGTTGCAAGAACAAGCGCCTTTAGGGACAAAGTTCAAATCTTGTGATTGCATCGAAGTGGGAACTTGGTTATTCATGCTACGTTTGTTACTTTTCAGGTTGCTTTGAACTTTTGATTCATTATGTTGTTCATTGTTTATGAGCAGGCCTTTTGGGTTATTTGTCTGGGATATGAGGAAGAGATATTGATCTGCGGTTTTGTAATCGATCTTTCCCTTTGTACAGATAAAAGTATTGTCGATCCTGTATAACTGTGGTGTTGAGGAGGAGATTTCCATAATGGAGCATCGATCACCATCACCAAAAACAGAGGACCTAGATGCCCCTCTCCACTTGTTAGGGTTTGAAATTGAGGAAGTGTCACCAAGCAAAGTCACAGGCCGCCTTCTGATAACAGAAAAATGTGTACAGCCTTTCAAGGTGCTGCACGGTGGAGTATCCGCCTTGATGGCAGAGTCTTTAGCTAGCATGGGGGCGCATATGGCTTCTGGGTATAAAAGGGTTGCTGGCATTCACCTCAGCATTAGTCATTTGAAGCATGCTGATCTCGGCGATCTTGTTGTGGCTGAAGCCACTCCTGTCAACGTCGGCAAAACCATTCAGGTGTTTACTTGCTCTTTACTTTGTTTGAATCTTCAAAATTCCACTTATCCGATGCTCAATCTTGGCCTAGTGAACGTTGAGTTGGATCTCTTTTCCATCAAAGCTTGAAACTTGCTGACTTTCTTTGTGGTTTGCTTGCCCTTGGCTGGTCTTCTGATCTCTATTCGGACATTGGAATCGTGTATAATGACTAGTAAACTGTCCCTGAAAGACTGTTGCTTTACCATCTGAAATCAAAGCTGGGAAATGAATAGCCTTTAAGTTTGGTTGTATCTCACATTCTATGTGGTTATTTGATGATAAGCCCTGGATACTTCAGAGCTACACTACGGATAACATCTCTCGACCAAACATTTGGATGCTATCTTGTAGCTGAGAGCCTGAGACATTAATGGTACGTGTTTTCTTTGTGAACCATGAATAGGTCTGGGAGGTGCAAATTTGGAAAGTTGATCCTTTGACCACAGACAAGAAGTCTTTGATTTCATCATCCAGAGTCACTCTCCTAAGCAACATGGCGGTGCCGGAACATGCCAAAGAAGCTGCTGATAAACTCAAGAGATATGCTAAACTGTGAAATATATGTTGTGTGTACTGTAAGGGTAAAACAATCCCCAGGGTGAATATTCAACCGTACTACATTCTGTACAGAACTGAACTCTTTGATTGTGTTGGGCGAGATAGAAATAAAGAAAATGCAGCAGAGAGGGCACAGGGTTGCTTCACTCTCACGAGACCTTCTTGTTCAACATGCTGCTCATCGTTGCTGATCTTAGGCTCTTCTCTCTTGTCAGTTCTCTGTTTTAGCCACGAAAGTCGATAGTGTTGGTGGGGTGCCATGGCTCCAATGATTCGACTATGGTCTCTTACGTCCGTCTTCGGGTCTCTTGTCCAGTTGTGTTAATGGCTATTGCGTCGCTTCTTTTGGTTAGAGTTGCGCTATGAATAGAGACCAAGTGGTGACTGGTGAGATGAAGGCGAATGAGATTTTAGATCTGGAATCCAACAGTCATAAGCCAAGAATATGCATCTACGTCCTAAAATGGATTGGTACGCTTCCCTTTTTAGCGCCATGTCCCCATATTTAACATACTTAGGTGGAAAAGAGCGCCTGAGATTACGCAAGTGGCCAACAGGAAGAAGTCTGTGGAAAGGTGGGGGGGTGATTTGGCGATCTACACTTCGATGTCCAAGCTAGAACGGTATAAAAGATGGTGTATGTGAATGTAGAAAAAGTGTGTGGAGTGATAAGGGTTAGAAGAATAAATCATGGGTTGTGTATGAGTGGGAATAGCGCTTCAAATGAGTTGCGCCAAGTCGAGTTGTACCCAATTTGAACTCGACTCGCTAATAAACAGTTGAACTCGAGCTACAAGCCGAGTTGAGTCGAGTTCGAGCTATCTTGCTTAATAAAATCTTGACTCGTATTTGATAAATTTATTTTGTACGTCATACAATCATACATGATACATGTGATTAATGTTAAGATTAAAATAATAATAAAAAAGTTAAGTGTTCAATATTAACTAATCTCATTTTATACTTTGTGTATCACACTATTTAGTTTATACTTGGATATTAAATTTTTCTAGTGACTAAACATGACATGATTTAGTAATCTTAGTGACCAAATGTGACATTTATCCATAAATTTTAACTAGTGAAATTATGTTATTTTATAGTATCGAAGCAATATTTTTAAAATTAAATAAGACATATTTGTTCACATAGTCTACGTGTTAAACTTCATATAGGGTGAGATATATAATTTAACAATCCTATGAATTACCAAAAATCAAACTCATATAGTTCGATTCGCTCATAACTCCGTAATCGAGTTGGCTCTCTGGCCACAATGTTGAGAGTTGAGACATCGAGTAGAGCTCAACAAACCATCGAGTCGTGCTAGCTCGCAAGCTCCCCGTGCGGCAGAAGCGCTCAAGCTCGGCTCATCAGTAAACGAGCCGAATTTCGAATTAGTTTTTCCCGAGTCAAACGCCGAGCCACTCGCAAACAACTCTACTCATTTGCAGCCCTAAGCGGGAAGGGAAGAAGATGGATCCCTAGCTTGGAATTGGAAGGGTGAGTGTCATTTTATAGGACAAGGGTTTGAGCCCTTTGGTGATAAGTTTTAGAGTGAGATTGGGTTCCAGGTGAGATGGTTCGGGATGTACGTGGGCACCGGGCTGTGTCGCCCACGGGCTAGCACGACACGATACGGTTAGAGCACGACACGAGCATGGGCACGAAATAAATGGGCCAGCCCGGCACGAGCACGAATAATTTATGGGTCGTGCCGGGCCTAAACTTCATGGGCACGGATACGAGCACGAGCACGACACGGTATATACGTGGGCCGTGTCGGGCCTAATATTTTCGAGACTTTATTGAGTATAAGAACGGACATGACACGAAAATAATATTTATTTGATAGAAAATAAATATAAAAAGAATTATAGGTTCAAATATTACAAAACACAAGTAGAAAAATAATTATTTGTTGTTGTTAGAAGTGTCATAAAGATATATACGTAATTACTAACACAAGTAAAAATGGACAAAGAATTATACAAAGCCAAATCACACTCGATATACTACCAATTTCCTTTTCCCCCTTATTTGTTACTTTTTTCAAACAATATCGGTTAATACTATCTTCCCCCGTCCAATTTTCACATTCTTTTTCATTCTTTCTTTTGTTTTCGCCCTTTTCATTAAACACGAATACGAGCATGGCACGAGCACGAATAGGCACGACACGATTCGAACCGTGCCCGGGCCTGGGCCGCGCCTAGCAAAGTTAACAAATAGGCTTGCATGGCACGACACAAAAACTGACGGACCGTGCCAAGCACGACACGAAATATATGGGCCTGAAGCGTGCCCGTGCCGTGCCGGCCAAAGCACGGCCCATCGCCCATGTACAGTCCGGGATGGGCTTGGGTTCTTTATGTTGTAAGAAGCATTGCGGTGGGCTTAGCCCACATTGATGTCAATCAATTTTTTGGAACAAATATATCACGTTTAGGCGCATTCTAGTAGGGAAAAAATTCGTTTGAAACTCGACTCGTTTACTAATGAGCTAGCTTGAGCTAAGCATTCTGCAGCTTGCATAGCTCACGAGCTAGCTTGACTCGGTGGCTTGTTGAGTTCAAGTTGTGAACTTGCTCGTTTAGAGCTCATGAGATGTCTCAACTCTCAACATTGTAGCTAGAGAGTCAACTCGATTACCTACTTAATTATGAGCGAATCGATCTAAATGAGTATGGTTTTGACAATTGATAGGATTCTTAAGCTATATATCTCACTCTATATGAAGTTTACACATAGATTGTGTGAGAAAGTATGTCTTATTTAATTTTAAAAATAAATTATGTATCATAAATGGCTCCGATACTATGAAATAACATAATTAACTAATTATAAATTTTATCTAAACAATATAATACCACTATGTATAACATGAGATTAGTTAATATTGAACATTTAAATATTATTATTATTATTATTATTATTATTATCATTTTGACATTAATAACATATATCATTGTTTGTGCTGGCTGGTGAGTAGGAGTCCGACACGGGAAAGAAAGAGATCCGACCGTCACTCCGAAGAGAGAAGCAGCCGACGAGGTTCAGAGTTGGGAGAGTATTTCTTAGAGAGAGAAGTAGAAAGAGTGATAAATATTGGGAGAGAGAAAATCTGATCCCTTTGTCAGGGGGAGTAAATGTTGTATTTATACGGTTTACTTGTTAGCTGGGTCATAAATGCGACAAGACAGGTCTGACAGAGCAACTGTGTTTGTTCCCGAGGCGTTCCTTGAGCGGCGAGAGGCGGTTCCCGCGTTGCCTGCGGGTGGCCAACCGCGGCGGCAAGGTCCGAATCCGTACCAATCGCGTCAGGTCGCTTTTAGCACAGTGGCAATCCGTACCAACAATTGCCCCCAACAGGAGGTAAGCTGCAGTTGCCTCCTGCGTTTGGTTCTATGACTCTTCTGATCTTGGGTATTTAAGGTACCGCGGTTGCCTCCTGCGTTTGGCTCTATGGCTATATGCCTCAGTCACGCTTGTTTTGAGTTTTTGTTCTGCTTTCTTGTAAGCTGCGGCTTTTTGAGATTGAATTGTGGCTCGCTTTTTGAGATTTGAACGACGAAGTGACGTGCTGGCGCTGGTTTCGAAGAGTCGCGTGTCGATTGGCTATTCCTGGCAGTTCAGCTTCGTGTGTCTATATAAAAGGGGTCGTGGTTTCGTGAACCTTTCTCACTTCTTTTTTTATCCCCTGCTCCTTGCCTTCTTTGCTTCTTCTTCCTGAGGCTCTGTCTTCATTTCCGATCACTGTTGTGAATCTTTGTCTGGCCTGTCTCTAAGATGTCCACCGACAAGGCCCCCCAGGTAGTGATCGAGATCGACGATGGAGGTAATGATCTCTCCGATTCTTATGTAGATGTTAGGAATTTATACGTAGGAGTAGAATGTTCTTCTTTACCTAGTACTCCTGGGTTTGATTTAGTCGACGGTAGCGAGTTCCTCCGTAGCTCCTCCTCCGACATGGCTTGACGCAACGACGGTGAGGAAATTCTCCGGGAGGAAACCATGGCAGGTGTGTACTCTGGTGTGACTTCGGTGCGGTGGAAGGGGAAGGGCGTAGCATTGGGGGAGTCGTCCGCCAGTCCATATTTGACGGTGGAAGATGTGGCCGGCGATATGGAGACTGATAGCTCTCTCGCTTTGTCCGAGGGGGATCCCTCGGAGTCCGATGTGCTGGTTGCTGCCACCCGCATGACTGAGGCCTTCGCACGCCGCGGTGTGTGGGGGTTGGGTGCTGACTCACATGAAACTACACCAATATAAAATCCCAACTAGAGCCCAAGTTTTTAAACTCTAATCGGGTGCAGTATAGGGCAAGTATTTAGATATCGATCCGGGTCGGTCCGTCTAGAATAACAGACCATTGTCCCCGGCAACGACGCCAAAAACTTGACTCGCACGAAACTACACCACAATAAAATCCCAACTAGAGCCCAAGTTTTTAAACTCTAATCGGGTGCAGTATAGGGAAAGTATTTAGATATCGACCCGGGTGTTGCTTCCCCCTAACTGCTACCATGCTATGTGAATTGGAACGATTGCTTTGGGCACGGTAATCGTGAACCGTAGAGGGATGCATATATGGTCGGAGACCACAATCTCAATTGCTAAACCAAGGTGAGCATGAAAGGCCGTGTCACTCGACCCTCTCGGTTTAGACAATCAGTAATTGACTTACTCCCTCACTCAACTCTAAGGTCGGACGGCTTGGTCGCGATTAACCGACTTGCTTAACTCAATATCGAGGTTTGCCCTAATTTAACCTAGATTAGGTGTCTTAGAAAGCAGAAGGAAAACCAACTCGATTGAATCTCCCTTGGAAGGGAGATTTTCCTCTCTAAGCTAGGGTAAGGTGGCTAATTAGATTGCTAGCACCTACATGCACAAACCTAAGGGTGCTAAGCACAAAACATGCACAACCCCTAAGTTTCTAAGCACAAGTATGCACAATCATGAAAAATAATGCCTCAATCATTGAATTGAACAATACCCAATGACAATCATCCAATACACATAAAAGAAAACTACATGGTAGAGTTAGGGTTTCACAACAATAAAGTGAAAGGAGGTCTACTCCATGCTAGAAGTGGGGAAAACAAAAGGGAAAGAGATGGAAACCATCTTGGGGGATGCTCCCGGTCTTCTTGGCCCTTGAGTTGAGCTTTCCTTGGAGGAAATCTTCCCAAAATTTGCCTTGAAGCTAAACCCTAGCCTTCTTCTCTCCTTGGTTCGCGTTTCTCTCTCTAGAATGTAGAAGAAGGCTTTTCACACCAAATGGGCCCCCTCTTCTCTCCTCCTTTGAGCTCATCTTTTAAACTAGAGATGATATGAGTTCACGGCCGTGAACCATGAAACGCGTCCATGAACTATAGGCGTGCGCCAAAACGCACCGCATCGTTCACTCGAGTTCACGGTCAGCTGCCTTTGTTCATA